AAATAATATTATAAAGAGCACTAAAGGCCACTTGTATAAAAGTTGTGTTCCCTTGTCAGCCAGAATCTGAAAAGCATCTTTGTAGCATGGAGAAAATTTCAGTGAGCAAGGCACAAATACTAGTAATAATAAGATGCCATAACTAGAAAACAAAATGCAGTTGGCTACGTAACCTTCAGTCTCAGCGTATTCTATAGGATGGAAATAGGATCCCACTTCCAGTATCTTGCTTCACTTAACTTCAGAGGGAAGCTACTAAAAGCTGTATTGGGAAGGATCAAATCTTACAGCCTAAATAATCAGAAGCAATAGTGATACCCAGGATCTTCATTCCCACATGTACATGGCACAGCTAAAACCACTTGAAAACAGCCCCTTTTCCCTCTGCACCTCTGAAATGGTCTTCAAAAGTGAACACCCGCATTTAGCTGGGGCCCTGAAAAAGTGATATCACACCAAACTTGTGAGGTGCTGTAGAAAATTTAGGTTTGCGACTCTTAGGCACCTAAAGCTTGGTGGTAAGGGATGTGGGGTGGAAGGAATCAAGATCCAGCGCTTTCCCAGGTGCTCTGCACTAAGCAGGACAAATTCAGTTCTTGCATAGGCAGATGTGACACCCCTGCAACTACTGGGCTCCCAGCACGACTGAATTTGCTCCTTAATCTGCATTTTCTGATTGCTTTAGGCTGTGATCTTGCAAAGTGATTGGACCACGGTGCTAGCCTGAAGACCACAAGTCAGCAGCCCTGTTACACAAGGGTTCAGGTGGGAATTAGTTTGCCGTGCTGCTGGGCCATAATTTGAAGCAGAAAAACTTAAAACTATTTCCACCCTGAACCATAACAATGCAGCAAAGTTACAGATAAGAACAGAACAAATATAGCCAAAGTCAGGACTTTTCAATCAATCTCTCCACGCGCTGAATGCCCTTTTGGGCTGATTTTGGCTGATAGGAGCCAGACTGATTAATTCAGTGCAGGAAAAGCCAAGGCAAGGATGACAGTCATTACCTGACTAGATTTTTCTTAAAGGACTAACTCCTTGAATGAAGCATAAACCATATTTTCTATACCTGCACACTTTAGCTAAACATTCACTTCTGCTGTAATGAAATATTCTCAGTTTGAACCTAAAGTGAGGAAGCTTGATTGATAATAGTGCTGCAAAGAGAGGTACACAATGTAAACATAGATTCATCTTTTCAAAAACTTCCAGATGTTTGTCATTTGCTAGTGGCTGAAAAATCCATGTAAAAATGCAGCTAAGAAAAACATCTCCAGATCAGTGCTGTCTTCCACAAGGAATTTTATAAATAAAGGCTGTTTAGGACCCGATCCTGCTGCCGGTACATCAGTTTGAGAAGGTTTCTTACTGACTTCAAGGAAAGCAGAGGTGACCCTCACTTTCTGATTATGAAAACATCTCAAGGCCTGAAATGAATCCTTGGTCACTCATAGGAGTTAAGAGTCATTAAAGGGTGTATTCCAATGGTTAATACTCTTTAATGTTAACTACACATAAACAAAGCTTCAGTGTCAGTCTAGATGCTAGAAAGATCTGACCTAAACCAAACTGGTAGCTGTTAAACTGAAATGTCACACACAGATGGACAAGTCTAATCCATTTCTAGTATGAACAGTACTGTTGACCAAAACGCCTCTCTCAAATGAAACTGTGAATAATGGATTCCTTGTGTGTGGTGAACCTACCTGCAAAACAGGTCCTGACCTTTTAAGTATCGCCAGGGTCAATAATCACAAATACTTTATTTTGTTTTGTCCAGTATCTGTGGCACGCACATAAACTGCAGTTTCAAGGTTGACTCACTTCCTAAATTCAACTTTAACTGGAGTCTGACGAAGTTTGTGTGCACATCCTGGATCCGGGATGATCTCCAGACCTCACCTGGTTGGTGACATCTTGACACACATCTGTTGTCAGCACAGAGAGAAGAACAGATGCACACCCTGTTTTTAATCCAGATGATGTAGGAGGCAGAAAGCTGCTATGCACATCACCCTTCTGAACAGAGGCGCGACTGGTTTCAGTGCAAAGAAGTGTGTTAGAAAAAATAAATACTAAAATAAGCTGATCAGACTTCCTTGACCCTCTTCTTGGATCTCTTCCAGAGGATTCAGAGATGTCCACTGCAGAAGGTCTTGGCGAGTTTACGACTAGTGCCTTTGAAGAAGAGGCAGACCTTATCTGGCCAGTTAGCATATCATTAAATATTTCAGGATGCGACTACAGATACTTGACCTGGTGTTTTTAAACTGCATGTAGCAAATCGGTGCTCACAGCCCACTGAAAATGCGAACTTGAACTGGAACTGGAACCTGCAGGCAGTTCAGCTGCTAAGTGTACACAGTGCAAGGTGCCCAAATTCCACTTTCGCTGGGGCTGCACTCAGTGTGCAGGTGAAGAGTCATCCAAGCCTCTGTCCTTGGAATGAACCTACCTTCATCATGAGGTGATTTACAGTTCTCCAGCCAGGTTTAACACTGAGAAAAGACTCCCTTTATATAACCTGGCATGAGAGAGATTAGAAACCTGCAGTGAGTGAATGTGAGGGAGAGCTGGGCATGGCAGAGCCACTGTCAAAGACATTCACAAACAAATTTCTCAGATTGCACTTGGTTTTTAGTTGCCTTGATTTTTGATTATTCGGATCTAGAAAGCATTTTCAGAAGGGCCAAACTCAAGTGAAACCAGTAGGAATGCCAGACACTTGACATATAAGAAAAGCGAAGCAGGCTTGTCTAGCACGTACTTACACCAGGTTCAGAAGAAGTCTAGCAGTGTTAAAATCAATTTTCATTCTTTCTCATTCATTTGTCATGTGAGGGTTAAATCTTCTGAGTTGCCACAGACATGTACCTAAAGCAGCTGCAATATACATGTTTCCAAGAATCGCTGATGGCCAAACAATTCTTCTCAATATGCAAACTATAATGAATTACAGTTTTGTCAGCTAGTTTTATTCTTTTCAAGTTTAGCCATGAAACTGCACCACACACAGATTATCTTTCAGGTCAATGGCTATTTTGTCAATTAAGTAATTACCAAAATTATTCCTCATATTATCATAGTTACTGGCCTCAGAACAGCTCTGTGGACTCAGCCCACTCTTCAAAGGATGTACCTGGTCTACATTATTTACTTGAGTAACTACAGTAATCTGTTCTCCCTGAAGATCTGTCCCAGAAGGATTTATCATGATTTAGCTGAAGAAGCAGATGAAGTAAGAAGATCCTAATCCTTTAGATACCTCTTTAAATAAAGAATAAACAATGAAGAATGAAGGCAATGTCTACATCTGGAAGAGAATAGTAGTTCCCTGGTTGGAACGACTGTTACGAGATGTCAACTATACCGAGGAATCAAGCATGAAGTTTACTACAGTGGGCAAAACCCAACAAGGTACCTTCCACTAAAGCGCACTCTATCCAGGCCTGTGCAGCACCCAGTTGCACATGGGAAGCCCAGAAAGCATATCGCTTTCTTGTGCTCTGATTGGATGTGTCTTTGATGCTCAGCTGTGCAGCTGCAGTGTAACACAAGCAGTCACTACAGAAAGTTCACTTTCTGACATCTTACATGGGCCAAATCCTTGTGTCTTTGTTGGTCAGTGCTCTAGCCATGGTGGTGAAGTCATTCCGTGGAGTGACAGGAGTCATCCTCAACAGGCGGTGGACATGGGCCATGGTAGAGAGCCTGCCCTTGGATCAGCAGGGTAGGCATGAGAGCCTGCCCAGACTGTGGGTGTCTCTGATCATCTGACATCTGGGCAAGTCTCCCTTTGCTCCCTTTGAAGTCAGTAGAAATTTGGTTATTGTAAATAATTGAGTTAAAGATGAGATTAATCTCATCCTAAAACTGATGTGTGCTTTGGTTCTTGCAGCCTGTGCCCACTGACTGTACTGATCAGTTTTCCATCAGCTGTAAAGAGTGCATAGCCATCAAATTTGACATCAAACGGATGCTATTTCATCGACACCTGGATTGACATCAGATGAATCCTGCATAGGATATTTGGACAGGTGGGTTTCACTAGCTGTATAGGTATCACATTCCCACTGTAGCGGTGAGATCTTCGATGCGTTTCTGCCCTGTTCCCAGTGGGTTGGGTTGATTTCTGGCTCTTCCTCAATATAATCTCCAATGCCCATGAAAAAATATTTGGCTGAGGCCTAGGGAGCATACTTATCCCTCTGTTGCTCAGGGATGGTATTTATTTATTGGTACATTGATCTTAAATATGGCACACATTCATGGATTTGGAGCAACCCATTTCCAAGGGAAACAGTAAACAGAGAGAAAGAGATTCTGGCAGCATCTCACATTGTGGAACTCCCAGGGAACAGAACAGCCATACTCTGCATGTTTAAGGACCTCAAAGCATTTGGCAAATTGTAGTGAATTGAGCCTTACAGTCTTTATATTTGTACGGAAGTATAACTCCCAATTAATTGGGAAACTGAGGCACAGTTACATTATGCAGCTTACTTAGCAGCACATGAGTCAATAAAAGAGTGGAATGTATAAACTCGGAGTTTCCTACACTGAACAACCTAATTTCTGGAACAGAGGAAAATTTGGCCCTATAACAAATGGGCCAAGCAAAAGGTTTTCTACAAAACAGCATTGTAGTCACACTTAGAGCAATTTTCTAAACACTAGTGGAGATTTTCAAAGTAATTTGAGGGATTTATATTTACATTTTACAATAAATAAATATCCATGACAAATCCCCAAAAGTGGCTTTGATAATTTTAAATTCTACCGCTAATTTTATTTTGACATTATATTTCATGGGAGGTTGAACAGTAGATCACGTAAGAGATATTTAGTTCACAAAACCATTTCTGTAAGGTCATTTACTTTGACTCAGCTTCTTCCCTGCTTTGAATATTAGATGTTCTTGGCTAGGCTGGTTAGAGATTAATTTACTTTTATTGGAACACGAATTCAGACATTATGTTTCCACAAAGGGATATTGCTCCTGAAAATATTTTTACTTTGCTGCTCTGTTTACAAAATGTAGCAAGGACCACCATATCTTGCCTGTTATCAATTCACCATTGTTGTATTGAAGAGCATCAGATAGATATGTATCATAGAAGAAATCAGCTGTACCATTTATATAGGGTAAAGTCATGCAAACCATGCTCAAAACTAAGCTCCTTAGTTTTGGTAGCATGAAAAAAACTGCATTAGTAAATTGTATGAAATGGTGCAGAATGACTACCACTAATATCACATGCATCTTATGCAGCCATTGGTGTTTTGAACTAGTAAGCTTTGAGTGTAGAGTAAGTGAGATATACAAAGTATGCTTACATTACATGGAGAAGTCAACCAGTGACTGCCCCCACACGCGTTTTTAAACTGGCTTATTCGAAGGGGTCCATATTGAATCTGAAATCCCATCTCCTGTAGAAGACAAAGGCATGGAGCCACTTGGTGTAAAAGGGTCAGTGTCTGTGTCCGTTTCCCCCTCTGCTAGGTAGCGTTTCTCTCTCATCCACGCCGATCCCCCACTGGGGCCAAACGGGAAGTCGTCTCTGTCTTGGGAGATACTGAAGCCACTTGGGGAGCGCTCAAGTTCCTCATGGTTGACAGAGAGAAGGGATAATGGAGTATCGCTGTCTCTTGTTAAGCTCCTTCTCTGCCTTGAAGACATCTTATCTGAGTAAGGGCTTTGTAGGTCTCCTTGAGAGTGGTAGCTAACCTGGGAGTCCATTAATGTAAATATAGGCAAAACTGTTGGCCTTTCTGCATATGAAGTTGAGGAATGTGTGGCTTGCAGTTTGCCAGAGTTTTGCCCACCTGTCGACAAAGGTTGTGAATGAGTCATATGACCATGTGCAGAGAAACCATAAGGACTGACTTTGTTGACTGGAACCTGCTGGAAGTTGTAAGGAGTTTCATGGGCACACTGCTCAGTGTATTTATAGATTATTGTTTTTAATTCAGAATATTTGTTTTCTTCTCTCTTCTCCTTTGCAGGAGAAGCAGTTTCTTTCAATGGACTTATCTCAGCGACTTGTATTTGCAGCTGTTCCATATGATGCATATGCATATCGACAAGAAAATCCAGTTTCTTCCCCATGTCATTAACCTGAAAAATACCAATGTTATGATATTGTCTTAAGTCAGCTGCTCAATGAAAGAGTCAACGCTCCCATAGGTGCACTGCCCCACCAATAGTGTGCTGCCATCTTTATTGGACATGAAAGTAATTATAGGATAATCATGACTTTCCCTTGGAAGCTAGACTGCAGTGGATGTCTGCTTATCCTCTAACTGCCTCAGATTAAGATGACCCATCCCTATGGACCGTGCCAAAAAAATTCTTAGTGTTGTTGGATATTTGGCAGTCCAGCATCCAACAGCAGTCTACAATGTTATGACCAAAGTCTTGATACCATAGGGTAAATAACTATTACCAAAACACAACAGTTGAAATTATCTTTGTGCACAGACGTACTCTCTCTTGTTGAGTTCCGCAACATCAGGGTTAAAATTCAGGACTAATTTCCTTTCTCTTTTCACAGTACTTTGTGCCTGAACATTTACATTCCATGAAAGGAATTGATGCGAATCAATGCCACTTGCCTCCCTCTTACTTAGGTATGTATTTAAGAGTAAGAATGTCTTAATTTGCTAACAAATAGGTTAGGATGCACGAAGAGGGCCCAGAAATACCCGTGGAGGCAATTCTTTTGAGTATCAGATCCTGCAAAAGAAGGTGGTGCTGACAGTAAAGCACCAGACATGATGAATATGGGCTTTAAGGGAATGAAAAAGTCCCATCTAAACATCATGGTTAGGGTCTTCCTCATAGATGTAATGATATTCATTCAATGGGTTTTAAAATACACACTTCTCAGTTAATTAAATTCTTTCATGAAAAAACAGCAACATCCTTTTGTGATCATTAGCATAATGTGAGTGAGTCTTGATCACCAACAGTATGAATCTGTCCGGGTCAGCCAACGACTCACACAGAATTTACGTCAGCTTTATCATTGCTGTACAAGCGCCGCAGCCTCCATCATTATCTTGAAATTACATACCTGTCGTTCAACTTTAACAAATTTGCCCATCATACTTTGGTCTTCAGTATCTGCTGTAGATGCTTTGGCTACATATGAATCATTTCTACAAAAAATTAATAACTATTAGTGTTCATTTTTTCTTTGCATGATAGTAAGAAACATATCAGAAAACAGAAATACCATCTTGGTGATATATTAGAATCATAGAATGGTTTGGGTTGGAAGGGACCTCAAAGATCATCTAGTTCCAACCCCCCTGCCATGGGTGGGGACACCCTCCACTACTCCAGGTTGCTCAAAGCCTCATCCAACCTGGCCTTGAACACTTCCAGGGATGGGGCATCCGCAACTTCTCTGGGCAACGTGTTCCTGTGCCTCACCACCCTCAGAGTGAAGAATTTCTTCCTTATATTTAATCTAAATCTGCCCTCTTATATATTCAGATAGCTCCTTAGAGCCCCATTTAAGAAAAGATTGAATTTAGTTATTTATCATACAAACAGGAGAAAAAGTTTATTCTGTGTGATTCCAATGCATTTGTAAAAAAAAGTATTCCTGATTTTTAATTTACAATTATTTTGGCTCAAAATTAAGATAAAGAAGAAACAAAACCAAAAAGTTTAAAATGAAAGTGAAATTAATCTCAGACTTGGTGGAATAATTTCAGGTTTGCGAAAAATGTTGAGATAGTCTAGATAATCAGCCCACAGATGGTCATGTGTTTTTAAATCTAATTCTTTATAATAAGTGTCTTTGAAGACTGAGTCCAAGTTTCAAGGCTGAGTGTTCTTTTTTTTCTTAATTTCATTAAAACAAATAGTAACTGGCAGACTGGAAATGCTGAAAAGAAACAGTCTGGCCTGGAGATTTAAAGTAGGTTCCAGAGTAAATTTTCTTCTGTGTAATTTCCTACTGCCCATCCATCAAATAGACTAACTTACTTCGGAAGTAGGCAGATGATCTCTGCTTAACTAAAGAACTTTGATTTATAACTTCATGGGATCTAAGATGGTTATTATCAAGTTAAATTTTTATCAAAATGTTTTCATCTCATAGGAATCTGTGTCTTTCCATAACCTATGTCAAAGTTCAGAAAAACAACTTCTAAACACTTGTTCTTTAATATAATTTAAAACAAATAGACCCTAAAACTTTTAACAAGTCCATTTCTTCTCTTTTTGACAAAATTCAAGATACAGTTGTGAATATATCTTACTAAAGCAGAAACTATAACTAAAGCATGTCAGATTTTGCACATTGGTTTACTGATGATATGAGTTCATTCAAATTTTACAATCATCTGCTTTGTTCCCCAAATGATCGTTGCCTCTTGAATATATGTAGTCTCTGTCTTCACATTTATATTCTTTTAGAGTTTTCACTGAGTGGGATAAACCAGATAGAGTCAAGTTAGTTTATTTTCTGTATGATTTCTTTTGTTCTCAGCAACCATAACAGCTTTGGGGACAGATTGTTGATGGTCTTGTGTGGGTCTTCATGGGTATTTATTGACAGATTGATAGATGTAAATAACATAAGAAATGTCATTTATTATGGAATTCTTGCTACCAGAAATGCAGTAATAAAATAACTCTCTGTAACTTTCACACCCAGAAACCTGGTATTGCTATTTATTTTCAGTAATTCTCACCAATCATTGGTTTAAAAGCAGTATCATTAAAACCCTGTGCTTGCCATTTTGTGGGTGCTATAATGAAACTTTTTTCCACTTCAGGAGGATAACTGGTTTACTTTTAAACTGTTGGTGATTTTTATTGAGTTTTTAAGTTGTTTTACTAGTTGAACGCTAGAAATTCAGCACATCAGCAACCAAATGCTCGTATTTCATATAAAATCACATTTCCAAACTGTGGAGAAGCTGAGCTAGACAATTAAGAAGCCATTAAGTTTAGAGTTCCAAGATACACTGTTCATAGGGAAACTAGTGTCTTTCTGACTCAACATTTACACATATGTACCTTGTAGTAACATATCCTCTCAGTACCATTACTGTAACAGTGTACTGGGTGGTTGAATGAAGGGCGTGCTTTTTTTTTCTGAATGAATTTTTTACTTCTGTTTTGGCCTATGCAAAATACTAGGCAAAAATATTCACCTGGGAGACTGTTGTGAAGGGTAAGAAAAAGCTCCTCCCTTTTGGGATTTCTTATGCTTGGGAGTAGATGGAGGTCCAGGTGTAAAAATCATATCTACTCTGAAAAAAAAGAAAAGTGCAACTGTATAAGTTCATCTCTAAATGCTAACACATGATAGAAAATTCTATGCATCTCTGCAGTAAATAGTAGCAAAGATTGAAAAAGGAAGCACATTTCAATTTGGTAATATATTGCGGGTCATGACATGTTTGCTCTGGTCTAAGTCCACAATCAACACACTGAATTGTAATTACCTGGTAATTAAGTAATTATTTAACTCACTGTTTCCAAACTTTGACATTTGAAACACATTACTTTGTTTCCTTCAAAGGAACTAAATAGTGTGATGGTCAAAAAATGTCCAATAACAGCTGCTCCTAAAAATATCAGGAGAGACCCATCAACTTATGTGCTGGATAGTGAAAATCAGAATTTGGTCCAAGATGGCAATTCCTGATACTCTTAATAAACCAATGACTTTCCAGCAGTTATTGTGCCTAATTATCAGTAATTTTTTTTGTCTTTACTAAGTATTCTTTTGCTTTGAAAAATGTAACTATAACAGAAATTTCACAAGGAATCCTGCCTGACTTTTTATTTAAAAGAAAACCCAAAGGATTGTTTGGGAGGCTCCAGCATATTTAATGACACACTTTTACTATATCAATATATTCTTTCATTTGACATATCCAACTGCTCAGGTGCAAGCAAGCCTCTCTTCATTCAGCCCCCACACCAGACTGACCAGGTATCGGTCAGCACTACTCCACAGAGCAGTTACGTGTTTTATCAGACAATCCATCCAGGTACATTGCATGGCTTCGTTGTGCCCCATGGAGTTTTGAAAACTGAAGGTTAAAAAGCTCAAGGCAAACCTCACAAAGCTAGCTAGATATTTCCTAGGCACACAAGAATTGCTAGGCTGTCAGTCAATGACTCATCAAACTCCTATGGCATCTCGCTACTCACAGACACAATGAGTAGGACTCCTGTCCCTGCTTTTGTCCGATTACAGTCAGTGGAGATCTAGTCATAGAATCATAGAATCATAGAATCATAGAATGGTTTGGGTTGGAAGGGACCTCAAAGATCATCTAGTTCCAACCCCCCTGCCATGGGCAGAGACACCTTCCACTACACCAGGTTGCCCAAAGCCTCATCCAACCTGGCCTTGAACACTGCCAGGGATGGGGCATCCACAACTTCTCTAGGCAACCTGTTCCAGTGCCTCACCACCCTCCGAGTGAAAAATTTCTTCCTTATATGTAATCTAAATCTGCCCTCTTTCAGTTTAAATCCATTGCCCCTTGTCCTGTCACTATGTGCCCTTGTAAAAAGTCCCTCTGCAGCTTTCCTGTAGGCCCCCTTTAAGTACTGGTAGGCTGCTAGTCAACACAGTGAAGAAAGTTCAGGGGACACTAAGGGAGACTCCACTGATCAAATGACAGCATCTGCTTTAAGCAGGGATTAATTGTGTCATAAAGGCCATTAATTATGTTGACTAGCTCTCTATTAATTATAAAAGGAATCTCACATGGTTTACCAGGATTATGCTTTTTCTTCAAAGACCTCCAGAAAGGTCTTCACTTTATGTGTGCAAAATGGCTTTTGAAATTTTGTAGTTCTTCTGCTACTGGTGATTCTTTATATTGGGGCATGGCTTTTCTGAGATGGACATCACAGGGCTGAGGCTGTGCCATGATTTTTGCCCTGATTCAGCTTGGGATGCGTCTTCATCCCGCAAAGCTCTGCCATAAGTACTGCAAGAGACAGGCCTAATCATGTCAGGCACCTTCACTGCTGCTAAGGCTCAAGCGAGTATCTGAGAGGTGCTCTGCTGTCCAAAATCAAACAACACCTTAGTGTGAGGTAAAGGAAGGATCTCCAGTATAAGGTGTGTAGACCCCACCATAGATGCAGGTTTCTAACATGATGAGCCCACCTCAACTTCCTGAGTTCAGAAAGGTATGACTGAATTGAAACCTAAGCTCATGTGACACAGAGCTCATTTTATAGGGTAACAGTGATGATTCGTGGTATATAATAAAAGCGAATAGCTTTTCTAGAGCAATAACAGTGAGGGAGGAACCAGACATGTTATATACTTGAAAATGAGATAGCCCAGTACATGGAAAAGCACTTTGGAATAAGAAACTATGAAGTTCAACAGAAGGACCAGAACAGCCTAACAAAGCCAAGGTAAGCCTAGATAAGGTCCAAATGTGCAGCAAGAGTTGCACTCAGTCAACCTATTCTTGAGAGAAACCAAGGGTACGTCTGCATGGCGTTTTGCTGCTCAGAGTGACGGGGCGAGCTCAGGGAACGTGGACAGTGCTGTGCTGAGACTAAACTACTACAGCTACACACATACACACAGGTGTGCGCTCAGACCCAGACGAGCTTACTAGCTCAAGCTCGGGATGCAAGCAGCATGGATTTTTGCAGACAAGCCTCAAAAACGCCTTGCGATGAACCGCTTCTGTGAGGTCACAACTGTAGGGGTAGATTGCACCTGAACAGTCACAAAGGCCTGGAATTCCAATTTTTTTCATAAAGATCGATTTACACCTGAGTGAGGGGGATGTAAAACCTTCTGCGCTGATGTATTTTTGCACTTGTATGAGATGTTTCACCAGGCACCTGTCAGCAGAGAACGGAGTTTGAAGGAGAGCTCTGTGTGGAGCAACTACTGCTTTTATTTATCATCATCGAAAAGGGGAGAAGGGGAGAAACTTGACCCTAATCAAATAAGGCAACTGTCAAGAAAATTCACAGGATTTTTTACTCCACTATCCTTCTAAATATGAGCCAGTGGTGTCTTCTGCTGCAGTTACCCCTGCTGGCTTCTCACTGGCACTTATTCTTTGGTGAAAAGGTTTTCTTATTCACCAGCTACACGAAGACATAGCTTCTGGGTGGTGTTCTACACAAACAGGCAAACCATGCTTTTATTTTCCCAGCACAGGTATATATTTTCCCCAGTTCCCAGAGTATTCTTACCTTGCCTGAAGATATTTTATTCTGGAAAGCATATCAAGATGCCCTGCTGAGTATTGCTCTATCACATCCTTTACATCATAAGGCCTCAAAGTCTCCTTGAATTTTTTTTTATAGAGACGAAACTGCAGTATTCTACATAATAAACAAAAAAAATTACTAACTTCTCATATAAATTCCATAATGATAATTTGCAGTTTTATCAAGTAATTGATAATCACTCTGGATGTTTGGACATTGAGCATGTTATTTCAAAGCAAGGTAGTAAAACATAAGCAGAGAATCTCTAATAACATACCACATTTGTAAATATGTAATAGTTGATTTTTCATAATTAATAGGCTAAAATTAATTATACACACCCAATGTCTTTCAGCACTATCATCATAACTAGAAATGGTTCAAAGCTACAAAATTTTCAACAACACGAGGCACAGAAGATTTTGAAACTATGACACTGAAGCTGCTTTTTTATGCTTCAGCCTATTTCAAAGCTAATTTACAGTATATAGAATGCTGAACCACGTTCAGCTTGGTTTTCCTTTTGCACCTGGGAAAGCTCTGGATAGGAGATGTTAATTAGATAGAAACGTGGAATTTAAAGTCAGCAGCAGTTCAAGTTGTGGAGAAAGTACTAGAAATGCCTGAAGTGTCCTTGAAAAAACAGCAGTATAATATTATTGTTGTTGTAATAATAATAATTATATAATTGCTGTTATTTTTACTGTTATTATAAAATGTCCTAGTAATTAATAACAGAATTCTTATAATAAGGACCAGTGCTGGCCAGAGGACTGGGAAACTGGCATTTTTTTCTCATTCTTTTCTGTTTATACATTAGTTTACACTGTTGTATCTTGCTAGATTAAACAAATAAACAAGGTACATATGTAAAGAATGAAAGGTATTTTATTTCTTTAATCTGTCTTAGGCTTGGGATCCAGAGGTTTGATTTCTCAGTAGAGTCTCCATGTTCTTATTGATCAGAATCGGGGAACTGCTGTCATCTGTTAAGATTCATACCTGCTTTTTATTAAAGGTTAGTGGGTTTTTTTTAACCCTTTTAAAATCTGTATAAACTTCCATTTAGCAAAGATAGTTTTATTATGACTTTTTAAGGATTTTCAAATCTTTAAGTCATAGAATCATAGAATCATAGAATGGCATAGGCTGGAAGGGACCTTAGAGATCATCTAATCCAACCTCCCTGTCATGGGCAGGGATGCCCCTCAACTAGATCAGGCTACTAGATCAGGTTACTGAGTCTGTTGCTCATAAATCTTTCAAGATTTCAAAATTATACCTATAGCCAAACTATATATGGTAACAGTAAAAATATACTTTAAAAAAGCATAAATGAAAAATAGGGATCACACTGTTAGCAATCTCAATTTAAAATCTCCTTGATCATGACCCTGAAAACCCATTAAGTGGTTTTGTCTGAAAGAATTACTTCTCATTAGCATTCAGGGTCTGGGTAAATTATACAAGAGGAAAAAAAAAAAAGGAAAAAGGTTGGCTCATGATTGGATTTAAAGGGAAATTGCATGAATCAATTACATTTGCACAGGATGTGGGAAAGGAAGCTTTGCAAAAGTAATAATAGCATGTCTTATAGCGCTGGGGCCAGAAAGCAGGACAGATGTATAGTTTGTGTTTGAAAGCAAGGAGGTATCAGGGAAAGAAAGGGAAAACTGTGGAGGAAGTAGGGATGAAGGAACTTCAGAAAGGAAGCAGGAGGGAAGCAGTCATGGATAACATGAACAGAGCCTGTCGGACATGGCTTTCAGCAGACTTGAGAAAACTTGGAATTTTTAATGACTGGTTCTCCTGCATCCAATAAGAAAAGAAATAGGAGAATATATATTATGGCTATATACATATATGATTATATACTTATAATCATCTTCCTTGAAGCTTTTCTAAGAAGATAATTTTCAGGTAATCCAGACTTGCAGTATTTCACTTGGAAGGTAGCAACTCCCTGGCCCAAAACTTAACAAGTTCTAGAATAAAAAGCAACTGCAATGAAAGCAAAATATTTTCCTATAGGGGCATTTTTCAAGAGGAGAGAGTAAAAAAATACTGATTTGAGGAGTAACAGAGCATCAGTGACTGAATTCTATGTGCTTGATGTGCTAAACACATTATCAAGCCTTACTAGGAGTTTTCTAACCCTAGGGAATATCTCTTGTGATACAAAAATAGAGGTGACACAAGTTACAAGCTGAAGACTATTGAAATGGAGATCTTAGTATCTGTTAAAATATGACAGCTGAAAAGTATATTGCACGCTCATACAATTGTGAGTAAAAGAGTTGAGTCAGATCAAAGTTTATCGTGAAGCAAAAATTCCAGTTTTATATAAATACCACAGTCACTAAATTGAGCAAGATACTATATTTATAGCATATTTTAATGAGAAACTGCATACAATAATATTTCATAATAAATACGTTTATGGAGTATCTTGCAAAAATGGCATGGCCAATGTTACCAAAAAACATTTTCCTTTCTGCATATTTTCAAAGATATAAATAGGATCTGTCTTATGCTTTCCAATATATCTAGAATTACCTAACTATTGCATTTAAAAAAAAGTAATAACAGCAACAATGAATCAACATGTAGCAACATGGTAATGTGATTTCCTGAAGCATAAGCATTCAAAGTCAAAGCAAAGCATTGAGGAGCATCAGAGACATTTACCTGACAGCTCGGATGGCTGTCTTGAATGTGGGGATCATATCTTCCATAAGGAAATCACTACTGTCACCTCTCTCTTCTGTCATGGGTTCTCCTGTTCCTGCATCTGCAAAGCAGGTCAAAAAATACCTGAGTGAACACTTGACCACACAATACTTAGAGTGAGCTCTGGCTGTAATTTACTAAAGGAACATGTCTTGCAGGTTCCTCTTTCTCTGGTCAGCTCTTGAAAGGGACTTTGTAATTCTGCTGGGACAGCTGTAAGACATTATTTGAGGGATCTCCTCTCAGATTCCAGCATTTCTGAAACATTGGGAAGTTTTCTTCCTTCTAATGGATTTATAAGTTCCCACTTTTCAGAGCTTTTACAACAAAAAATCTTTGCCAAAACTATTTTGCGTAAGGCTAAAACAGGTGCAGAAGCTACAAATCAAGTTCTCCTCCCTCTTACACTGCTTGGAGCTCATGTACCTTCATGAAAGAGAATAATCAAGTTCCCAGTGTGGACACCCAGACTACATCCATGGTAGTATGCCCAGTATGCCCTCACGGCAGCTGGCACAATAAAGGAGAAACTATTATTTAGAGGCCATTTAGAAACTACAGGCAAGAAGAGGAAAATGTGTGCCCAGGGAAGCTGAGAGGAAAAATACCCTATGATGCTGCATGGACACCCAATGGAAATCTGCTGAGGGGCAGCAGTTATAGGGAGAGTGTTTAGGAAGCAGCAGTTGACTCCAGAAACCAAGTTTTTGAGAGACTGCAGTGAGGAGATATTTGAGATGTCTGGGAACAGGCCAGTGCAGGGCTGGATGCAGTCTAGGAGGGAGCTACCTTAGCATAGCATCCCTGCTGATAAACCAAGCCATGGTGACATGTAATTTTTTGGGGATATAGATTCATTTCCCAGTGTGCCCTCTTTTTCCAGGTCAAATAGGTTGATTCCCCCACTGGCTTTATCCCGCATCAATTGCTAGTTTTAAGGAAGGCCATTGTCTTATTTGAATCACTGTGTTGCCTGGACTCCAGTATTCATTTCCTGGAGCTTCCCCAAATGCGCCATGTAAAACCAGGGACCAGCCATGCTTGGCCTAGAAAATCGCAAACCTTCAACAGAAGATGCAGAGGAACAAAGTAAAATGGGGACAACAGGGGATGGATAGAAAGAAATCAACACAGATGGGCTACCTTCTGAGCTTTGCCAAAAAGCGTACGCTTTCATTCGGAATGCAGTGCGAAAACGCTCCTTATTATTCAAGACAACATTCTTAGGCTCTTTTGAAGGACTTTCTTCAATGGCATCTACATTCAGAGGGGTAAATAGCTTTCCTTTAGTATTGGTACCACGAACCCGATCCAAGAGACCCAGCTTTTGGCTACAAAATAAGCAAAAGTAATCATTTTCCTCCTTTGTACATTTTTAACTTGTTTTCATGTTGCTTCAAATATATAATGGGCTGAATAAATGGTTTGTACACAAGGACACTGCTGGGGCTACCATAATACATCGATGTCTTTGTAAGCAACAGGTGAACTCCACAGATAATTAACTGCTTTTTACGAGCATTTTTTTTGTATCAATGTTTAAAATGTTACCAGAGGGTCTCACTATCCTCTCCATGTAATGTATCACAGTGCTTCAGCTCCAGTAGCATGTCCGAAGCATTAGATTTAGTATGAAGAAGAGAAACACTACAACGTTGGTAGTTATATGGTCTTATGACAAGGATGCTTGGCCTTTCCTGTTCAGTACTTTCTTTAACCACTGGGTCCGTGGCAGGCTATTAAATGAATAACACATGTATAGCCAGAAGTAAAAGAAAGTCAGCTGTGCTGTGAACCAGATAAATTGTCAGCAAAACACTGGAAAGGCATTGCAGAGCAATTACTAGGTACACGGTAGGGCAGGCTACCCAGTTCCCTCCACTATTCACTTTCAGTCTTCTCTCACTACCCTAGAAATTGAGGTGACCTATACAAATTGTAGCAAACTGACATATTTTGTTCCTCTGACGGTTCCTTGCACTGTCCTCTTACAGATTTACTGACCAAAGACATTTTTCCTTCGGTGACAACATATAGCTAGAATTGCATCTACCTGCCATCTTACCAGCACCAGCAACCGTTCTGACAGCCTGATAGCTGTAACGGTCTTAGATGCAATTACGAACACCACTGGAAAGAGCAACACAAAAGGAATTTGCTAGAATTTGCTAGTGAGTGTATCAGATCAAATACACTCTGAGTACTTCATAGGTGATACATGGCATAAAAATTTTATATGCTTGTTCACTTTGCTGCTTAAATATTTGTTGATTGCTCATTTGTTAAAAAATGAACCGGATGACCATTGTGGGCCCCTTTCAACTGAAATACTCTCTTCTAAAATGTGGGGCTGAGCCACAGGAAGAAAGTCTACCTTTTAACCCATTCCTGGATATTGCAGTGTGGGACAGCTCTGGGGAGAGATGATTGTGCACACATGGTCAAGAAGCACTTTTGTGCAGGACAGCAGGTCAAGCAGATTGAGTGGGGGGCAGAAGAAGCCACTGCAGCTATCAGGTTTCTGAAAGCCACAGATGGGAGCAGAGCTGAAGGACAAACAGCAGTGGTAATCAGAAGAAAGAGATTTCTTAGGTATGCAAAGAGGTATCTGCAGTGTGCTCAGCTGAAGCCACTAAACTCACTGGCAGGAGAGGCAAGCATGGAGAGCGTCAACCGTGCAAGGACATGGTGGACAAAGACAGGGACTTGTTTGCAGACCTTGCAAATGAAGGGTTTCACTCACAGAACTATCTATTCTCTATTTAAGGAGTTATCTTGGTCAGATGGATTATTTTTGTCTTCTAGCGTCTCTGGTGTCATTGGTGCACCTTTTTGAAAGAAGGATCTATTTCTATCTTAGAGGTTTGACTGTGGCAGTATCACACCACAATGGAAGTTCTTAGGACATTCCTCTTAAATATAAAGGTGAGATAGATTTAAAGACACATATGATGACTTTGCAGCTTTCATAAGAGTGCTGACTCTAGTAGGAATATAACAATTTACAGCATACAAAGTTCCTACCTGATCTGAAGTACTGACAATCACAGCTGTTGTAGAGTTTCTGGTTTGTTTTTTTGTGGTTGTTGTTTTTTTTTAATATGAATTACTCAGGCCCTCATCTTTGCCATGTTTCTGATCGACCTGTCTTTGACCCAGAAGGTAATGAAGTATGAGCTTCCCCATCATAAAAGATGGAAGCACTAAACCTTTATGTAGGACGTTTTTCCGGGCCTTCTGAATTTTGTTGTTGACAATGTAACAACACTTGTGAGTGCAATTTCTGCAGCCTAATAAATTCATACACTTGCCCTTCCATTGCATGTATGAAGTGCATACGTGTGTATAAGCAGCAACTAATCACAGAATCACAGAATGTTAGGGATTGGAAGGGACCTCAAGGATCGTCTAGTCCAATCCCCCTGCCGGAGCAGGACCACCTAGATCACCACTAAGAAGGACTTGTGTGAGTGTGGAGACACATAGCTAGTTCAGAAATAGCAGTATTGCCAGGACTGAAGTCAACGATATGAGGAGATAAAAGTACAGATTTGAGTGATGAATTAGAACAGTCTAAGTGAATGGTATTAATATTACTCAGACTTTGCCCTAATGCCATTTCCTGAGGAATTCATGGCATAGAGGGAACACATGCAAAGTGCAGACAAATGTACTGAGCAAAAATCAGAGATTACTTCCTTCTTTGTAGAAAAATATAAGATGTTACTTGTTGACACCTGTGGCAAATTAGTCACCACAGAATGTGTAGGGCAGTCTCATGTTCGGTCTTAAGCACTTGTTTAAAAAGCAGTTTCCATAGTGCTAGGGTTGGAATCGTGATCTGATTGACCTACTAAGGTGCCCTAAAGCATGAACTGATGGTGAGCACAGGGTCCCAACAAGCGGTTTATGTTCTACTAAGATAGGGAGAATCCTGTGACATCTTTTCTGCATCACTATCATTTCTTTACTCTTTCAGAGGTCATGCTTTACACATAGAGCACGTACTGCTTTGCAAGACAGATGTTTTAACTCCATGGCATTTCTGTGAAATTTGGATTCTTCAAGCACTCTGCTAACATATACAGGAAAAATAGATACAGGAGAAGACAACAGCTAATGAATAAGTTTTAAAAAGGGATGAAAAATAAAGATGAGGAAGCAAATGTCAACTGAACGAGTTGTGTGTGTTTTTGAGGGGAAAAAGGAATTCTCATGTCTCAATTGTAATAAAATCAAAGTTTGAAGAGGGAAGTAATTTCGAGAAGGATGGTCAAGAAGAGCCTCGAATCACGGCACATCACTGGAAAGAATTTTGGTGCAAAGAAACGCACCAAAAATCTAGCTGAGTGATAACAAAGAGTCAGCCAGACAATATGAACTGATGGGCATGAAGATGTTAGAGGGAGTGAGCTTGGGAGTGAGTTCTTCAATGTGAAGAAAAACAGACAGAGCACTTAGGTGTGCTTGGCATGGTGGTGTCTTTGTAAACTGAATGAGACTGTGGAATAAGCTACAATAAGGAAGAAACTGAAGCAGTTTTAAGATGAGTAGATCTGTTCAGTGATAATAAAATGAAGGCATTTTTCCCTAGGTCTGAAAAAATTATATATACAACAGGCTTCTTGTGGACATCAGCTTTTCCTGGTGCAAGGTTTAACAGGTCACCAATTATAGATGAATCTCAAATGAAAGTGGAAACTGTAGTTCACCTATTCTTTAGGATTTCAAGATTGAAAGTCTTGGTTCAAGAGCTTCTGGATAGACCTTGCAGGATGAGAAGGAAGCTCCTAGAAGGAGCTTTCATCGTTATATTTCATTAAATCTAGCAGTGAAACTCAGTATGATTTCAGATGATGAGGTGATTTCCTCAAAGGCAAGAAGTGGTCACATACTACACATTGGCTTTGAGCATTGTATTAAATGTAACAAGATTTAGTTTAGTAAAATCTACTACAGAGAAGTTATCTCGAGAAGAATATGTTTAAGGCAGAGAACCTGAAAGATGAAGAAGCAGAAAAACAGGTGAGACGGAAGATTGGTATTTTTTATAAAAAGCAGTTTAATACTATATTGGAAGAATATACTTGTTATTACATAGGGCCTCTTAACTTTGCTCCAGAAACTTGCTTGGTCCTTCAAAATACATATCCAGATCTCTCAAAGCCTGCCCCTTAAAAATCCTGTAATAACTGCCTTCCTTACCAAAAGAGAAAGAGGCATAAAGTGCACTGCAAAGATCTACAGGGATCAGATCAGCAGGTAAAGGGTCGGTGGATGATGCGAAGTATCCAAAACTTTCATCTTGTGGATTTTTTCAATATAGGACAGAAATATAGGCAATATATGCAGAAATCTCTGCCATAGACCTATACAAGAATAGGAATGATCAAGATTTAATATCCTCCTCATAGGTCAAGACAGATCAAAATACTCCTCTGCATTCAGCGCAAAAAGCTATTTATTTGCAGTGGTATTTTCCACTGCATATGTAGGCACACTCATTTGTGGCTTGGGTTGGTTTGTTTGTTTTTGTTGTTTGTTTATTGTGTTGGGTTTTTTTTGCGGGGTAGGATTTAAGGTAGATAATATGTGCCAAAGGCATTCCCAAATTCTCTTTCTACGGAGTTTCTCAACTTTTCCCATTGATAAGTGTCAGTTTAGGAAAAACTCATGTCCTAAGACTTGCCTGAGCGTCTTAGGTTTAGGAGCTAGAACTCATCTGATCTGTCTTAAACTGTTTAAAAACTTGAATATCCTGTCTAAGATTAATCTGTAGATGCCTTTCTATAATCAGTGGGAAGTTAGCAACCTACAGAGTGTAGTTCAGCTCCATTTCACTTTGGGATGATTTTCCAGCTGGGTGAACTTGTTTCTTGTTATTGACTACAGAAACTAGATAAGAAGTCATTTAAAAAGCAAATCTCTAGTCTAAGTTGAAGTTACCTGAGCTGAAGCCTTCCTCATGAACTGAATTGTGATGATTAACCCTTAAAGTAACATTCAGATTCGCAACAGTATGTTTATGCAATAAATATTGACAATCATGTTCAAATCCAGGCAGCCAGAGCAGTAGAATCATCAGAACATAATTCATCAGCTTTACATGAAAAAATACATCAGTATGTTGCATACAAAAAAAAACCCAAAACAAAACCCAAGCTTCTTTCCAGATAATGGCTAGCTGTCATCAGAAAAAAAAAAAAATTGACTTTATTCTCATTTCCAAGAGATGAAATCTGGGTCTGCTGGGGTTTTTGTTTTCATTGTGCTTTTTAAAAAGACTTAGGAAACATTTGTTGTCATGACACGATCTCCTTCATTAAAACAG